AAGGGGTATTCCATATCATCTGACATCATGCTGAACAATATATAGGGGTGGCTAGCGGGGGTGGGAGGGCCGGCTGCTCGGGGACAGGCTGGGCATCGGTCAACGGGTGGTGAGCAATTGCATTGTGCATCACTTGTTTCATACACATTATTATTATTCACACTATTATTGTTATTATTATTATTATTAATTATTTTCCTCTTAATAAACTGTCTTTATCTCAACTCACAGGCTTCATTTTCCTGTTTCTCTCCCCCATCCCAGAGTGGGAGGGGGGAGGATGAGCGAACGGTGATGCTTAGCTGCCACCTGGGTTAAACCATAACACTGGAGCCGGCTGCTCACAGCTCAAGAGAACCCCCAGGACATCTCTGGGGTTGGTTATTGATAGGGAAGACCAAGGCAGGGAATACCTGAAGGGAAGGCACTCTCAGAACTCTGCTTTCACTTTCCTGCCATGAGGGACAATTATGGAGATTATAAGGGACTTACCAGGTTTTTAGAAGGGACTGAAGATCCTAGAACATTACAGTGAAATAGATTTGTATGTCTGTGAAGAACCTCCTAATTTCCCCTAACACCTGTACAGATTGCACAGGCTACGTCAGCAAAATGGGCACCTGAAATCCATTTCTGGTGCCCTTTACGAGACACTATGAAGCAGTACTGACTGCTCCTAAGTCCACCAAGGATTTGCCTGGTCCCTATTGTACTCTTCGACAGCAAAACCCAGAGTTCCAGGAAGGAGCACATCCTCCTCACAAGGAAGTGACACTGTGTCTTCCTGAGGAGCTTTCTTTGAAATATAACTTACGCTCAGAGAAGTCTAACTTGTCTCTCTCTTTTCTTCCATGGACAGCCAACCATACCCTGAGGCAGCAAATGTCCAACAGCAGCTTCCCCACAGAGTTCCTCCTCCTGCCATTCGCAGACACACGTGAGCTGCAGCTTCTGCACTTTGGGCTCTTCCTGGGCATCTACCTGGCTGCCCTCCTGGGCAACGGCCTCATCCTCACAGCCATAGCCTGCGACCACCGCCTCCACACCCCATGTACTTTTTCCTCCTCAACCTCGCCCTCCTCGACCTGGGCACTATTACCACCACTGTTCCCAAAGCCATGGCCAATTCCCTGTGGGACACCAGGACCATTTCCTATGCAGGTTGTGCTACCCAGCTCTTTATGTTTGTCGCATTTATCACAGCAGAGTTTTATCTTCTCACCATCATGGCCTATGACCGCTACGTTGCAATCTGTAAACCTCTGCACTATGGGACAATAATGGACAGCAGAACTTGTGTCAACATGGCAGCAGCTACCTGGGGCAGCACTTTTCTCTATGCTGTGCTGCACACTGCCAATACCTTTTCCCTACCCCTCTGCAAAGGGAATGCCCTAGACCAGTTCTTTTGTGAAATTCCCCAGATCCTCAAGCTCTCCTGCTCTGATGCCTACCTCAGAGAAGTTGCGTTCATTATCTTTTGCTTTTGTTCAGGTGTTGCGTGTTTTGTTTTCCTTGTGCTGTCCTATGTGCAGATCTTCAGGGCATGCTGAGGATGCCCTCTGAGCAGGGCCGGCACAAAGCCTTTTCCACATGCCTCCCTCACCTGCCGTGGTCTCCCTGTTCATCAGCAATATCATGTTTGCCTATTTGAAGCCCCTCTCCATCTCTTCCTCCTCCCTGAATCTTTTTCTGGCAGTTCTGTACTCGTGTTGCCTCCAGCAGTGAACCCCCTCATACAGCATGAGGAACAAGGAGCTCAAGGATGCTGTTAGGAAACTGATTTGGGGGATGCTTTTCAGTACTCAGAAAGTTTCTTTCCCTCTCCATAAATGAAAATTGTGTATCCCATTCCAGCCTGTTTTTTTTTTGCTTGTTTGTTTACTTTTTTTTTTATCATTATTTTTTTTCCTCTCCTTATTTCCATTGTGACATCTTTGGCTTCTTGCATTTCCACATAAGTGTTGGGATTCCTCCCACTGCAATTAATGAGTGAAACTGCACTGTTTTATATGGATGCTTTATACATATTCATGTAACAGTAAGTCAGTGAAGACTCTCTCATAGCACCTTTGTAATAAACAAGATAGGACAGGATATCATGGGATATCACACCACTGGGGTATGATTCTTTGTTGTTTTTACCTAGCTATGCAGTTGAACTCCGCCACAACCTCTCTCTCACTCACCCTCCTCAGAAGGGGAGTGGAAGAAGAAAGTATGCTGGGAAAAAAAAAGAAAAAGAAAAAGGAAAAAGAAAAAAAGGAAAGGAAAGGAAAGGAAAGGAAAGGAAAGGAAAGGAAAGGAAAGGAAAGGAAAGGAAAGGAAAGGAAAGGAAAGGAAAGGAAAGGAAAGGAAAGGAAAGGAAAGGAAAGGAAAGGAAAGGAAAGGAAAGGAAAGGAAAGGAAAGGAAAGGAAGGAAAGGAAAGGAAAGGAAAGGAAAGGAAAGGAAAGGAAAGGAAGGAAAGGAAAGGAAAGGAAAAAGGAAGGAAAGGAAAGGAAAGGAAAGGAAAGGAAAGGAAGGAAAGAAAAGAAAACATGGATTGAGATAAGCGTAATTTAATTGATGGGAAAAGGAAGAGGGAAAAATAAAACAAGCCAACAACAACAAGCAAACAAGCAAAGGCCGTGTGGAAGCATAGAACGAGAGGAAAGAAATTACTCTCTACTTCCCATCAACAAGTGATGCTTGACCATGTCCTTGAAGCAGGCCTCAATACACATAGCCATTATTTGGGAGGACAGACATTTTGGCAACAACAGCCCACCCCTCCCCTCTTCTTCCTTTTTCTACCTCTTATTGCTGACTGTGACATCATATGGTATGGAATATCCCTTTGGTCATTTTAGGTCAGCTGCCCTGGTGATGTCCCCTCCCCACTTTTTGCCCACCCCCAGACTGCTGGCTTTTGGGGGAGTTGGAGGGAGTCTTAATGCTGTTCAGTATTGCTCAGCAGTTGAAAAAGCTCTGGTGTGATATCAGTGCCATTCTATCTAGTGCTCTATATGGGCTGCTGCAGGGAAAGTTAACTCCATCCCAGCCAGACCCAGCATAGATTCATTTCCCCCTTCGTGAAGTACTTCTGCCTGGTCCAGCCCAGTGATCCGGACCTGGATGAGTCTGCTTCCCATCCTGACCAGCATGGCCATGCAGATTTATCCCACAGCACCACAGCCCATTTCCTCTGCACAGCAACACTGCCAGCTTGGGGACCACTTGTGGAGAGCACAGGGACAGCCATTCCCCACTGCCCAAGGGGAGCTGATCTTTGAAATTTGACCAGCTCCATCCTTCTGTTGGCATCAGTGTCTATACTGAGGGAATGGCCACCAAAATAGTGAGTCATGGGCTCAGAGATTTTCAAAACCCAGCTGCAGAAAACATTGACTGACACAATCTACCTGTAAAGCTATCGGTGCTCAGAGAAGATAATGGTAGTGGACACCTCCAGAGGTCCCTTCTGACTCAGGGGAGAAAGGGCTGGACTGTGCAGTCAGAGTGTATGACAGTCCTGTGTTTTGAGGCCTCTCTGGTGTTTGTAATCCCTGCTCCTCAAGGTTACCCGCTGAGTGGGGTAATTCTCAAAATAAGGTTCCCAAAGGGAACCTGGAGTACAGCTGGTACAAGGATACTATTGAAAACTTCTCAGAAACTCCATCAGGCATTCCAGAATAAAGAAATCACAAACTTGTGATCACAAACGAGGAGCTCGGCTCCAGGGCAGATGTGTTGTCTGTAGCGGAGAGGGTATCGAGGCAGGCAAGGCTCTTTCCTGCATTGAGGCCACTTGGGAGCCACCAGGACCCAGCATCCCTCATGAAGGAGGCTGATGAGGCATTGGCAGAGCCCACAGCAAACACCCCTCCCCCACCCCCAGTCAAAGCAAAGGCAGCCCCTAGGAAGCACGAGTGACCAGGAGTGTGCCGAGTAGGAAAGGCAAACAGTGTGGCATGGCAGTTTGCAGAGCAGTTCACACAGGCAGGGCGAGCAGGGAGGGCGTCCTCACTGCTCTTTCCCAACGGTGGTTGTGAACTGCTCATGAAGAGCCCAGCCATGGTATCCACCCAGCAGAAAGTCATGGCCTCTGCATCTCTGGCAGCCTCTCCAGCCACAATTACCGATGAGGCTACCTGGATAGAGGTCTTGGGGAAACATGCAACCATACAGGTCTTTGGCTGCAGGGTGTGCCTGAATCTTCTGTTGGTGTCTTACAGCAGCAGTGGTGGGTATGCCTGTGGGAGGTGTGCACAGGCTGAAGAATTGCTCAGCCCGGTGGCGAAGCTTTGGGAGGAGGTGAGCAGATTGAGGAGCATCAGGCACGTGGAGAGGGAAGCTGACTGGTGAAAGCATACTCTACCCTCCCTGAGGCAGACTCATGAGCCAGCCACAACACAAGTAACAAAGGTTCCTCTATCCCACCAGGCAGCCACTACACAAAAGACAAAAGTTCCCCCATCTTGCAAAGCAGGAGGAGGGAACCTAGGCCAAGGGAGGGAATGGAAGCAGGTTCCTGCTCGGGGTGGTAGGTGAGCCCTCTCCCTGCCCACCTCACCTTCCTGACTACCCATCTGTAACAGCTATGAAGCTCTAGAACATGGCAGTCAAAACAACGATGTAGACAAAAGCCCATCCCAGTTGGAAGGGGTGCCTAAGGCAAGGCAACCTACCCCTTGCAGGACTACATCTTCTGTCAAGAAAGAAAGAAGGGTTATCATCATGGGGACTCCCTTCTGAAAGGGACAGAGGGCCTGATATGCCATCCAGACCCAACCCACAGGGAAGTCTGCTGCCTCCCCGTGGCTGAGGTAAAAGGTATTGCCAGGAAAGTCACTAAGCTGGTACAGCTGTCTGACTACTACCCACTACTGCTTTTTTTCAGGCTGGTAATGACGATGTAGCAAGGAGAAGTATGAGATCAATCCAAAGGGACTTTAGGGCTTTAGAGAGACTGGTTAAAGGATATGGGGCACAGGTCATATTTGCCTCTTCCTTCCAATAGGAGGAAAATATGTTGACAGGCAGACTCGGCTCATCAATACGTGGCTCCGAGACTGGTGCCACCAGAAGAACTTTGGGTTTGTTCATCATGGGAAGGTCTATGCAACACCAAGCCTCCTGGCATGAGACAGGATGCACCTTTCTCAGAGGGCGAAAAGGATTTTTGCCCAGGAATTATTAAGGCTGATAGACAGGGCTTTAAAGTAGAGTCAAAAGGAGAAAGGGATAAAACCAGGCATGTCAGTGATAAAATAAGGGATGGAGTGCCAGAATTAGGAGGAATGTGTTCTAGTGAGGTCCTTCGGGCTTCTCCACCAGGTTCTGCATGCTATGAGGTGCATTTGAAGTGCTTCTACACAAATGCACACAATATGAGGAATAAACTGGATGATCTAGAATTCTTGGCCCAATTCTGGAGCAATGATACCATCAGTATAAGCGAAACCTGGTGGGATGAGTCCTGTGAATGGCGTGTTGCAATAGATGGTTACAGGCTCCTCAGTAGGGACAGGCAGGGCAGGCAAGGCGGTGGGGTGGTGCTGTATGTAAAGGAAAGGCTGGACTGCATGGAGCTTGCAGTTGATGATGGCAATGCTGAGATCCTCTGGGTTAGGATTAAGGGAAAAACAAAGAGGATGTAATTGTGGGAGTCTATTACAGATAACCCAGCCAGGATGACAAAACTAATTATTCTTTGATGAACTAAGAAATACATTGAGATTGACTGCCCTTGTCCTTATAAAGGACTTCAAATTGCTTTGTTTTCTCCCTTTCTTCATAGAGAAGATGCTCCAGACCCCATATCATCTTTGTGGCCTTCCGCTGGATTCTTTCCAGGAGATACCAGTCTTTTTTTTTTTTTGTACCACGGAACCCAGAACTGGACACAGGATATCAGAAGTTAATAAGAAGCACAGAATCACAGAATTTCTAGGTTGGAAGAGACCTCAAGATCATCGAGTCCAACCTCTGACATAACACTAACAGTCCCCACTAAACCATATCCCTAAGCTCTACATCTAAACGTCTTTTAAAGACTTCCAGGGATGGTGACTCCACCACTTCCCTCTGCAGCCTGGCTCACCGGCTCGAGGTGCTCGCATAACCCTCACCTGGTGACATGAAGAGAAATCTGAGGTCACGGGTTCAAGACGCAGCATGGGGGTGCAACGTCCCTCCTTACTGAAAGGACTGTGGTGGTTTTACTCAGGTGGGCAGCCGAGCTCCACCACAACCGCTCTCTCACTCCCCCTCTCCTCAAAGAGGAAGGGGGAGAAAATACAACACAGGGAACTCGAGGTTTGAGATGAGACAGGTTTAATTAAAGGGAAAGGGAATGGGGAGGAAAAACAGAAACAAAAGAAACAATCAGTCCGCGCGGAAGCACAGAGAGAGAGAGAAAAAAATTATTCTCTACTTCCCATCAACGAGCGGTGTTCGGCCATGTCCTAGGAAGCAGGGCCTCAAATGCGTAGTGGTTGTTCAGGAGGAACAGCCCCCTCCCCCACGAGAGCCCCCCTTTTTATTGCTGAGTGTGACATCAGGTGCTATGGAATATCCCTTTGGTTGGTTTAGGTCAGCTGCCCCGGCAATGTCCCCTGCCCATCACTTGCCCACCCCCAGCCTGCTGGCTCTTGTGGGCTTGGAAGGAGTCCTGATGCTATGCCAGCACTACGCAGCAATAGACACAACACTGGAGTGATATCAGTGCTGTTCCAGCTACGAGTGCAGAGCACAGCACTGTGCGGGCTGCTGAAGGGAAAAGGTGACTCCAGCTAAGACAGACCCAACACAAGTGTCTAACAACACTTTCGGTAAAGAAGTTCTTCCTAAGATCCAGCCTAAAACTCCCCTGGCGCAACTTAAGCCCATTCCCCCTCATCCTGTCACCAGGCACGTGGGAGAATAGACCAACCCCCACCTCACTACAGCCTCGTTTGAGGTACCTGTAGAGAGCGATAAGGTCACCCCTGAGCCTCCTCTTCTCCAGGCTGAACAAGCCCAGCTCCCTCAGCCGCTCCTCATAGGACTTGTTCTCCAGACCCTCACCAGCTTCGTTGCCCTTCTCTGGAGCCGCTCAAGCACCTCGATGTCCTTCTTGTAGTGAGGGGCCCAAAACTGAACACAGTACTCAAGGTGCGGCCTCACCAGAGCCGAGTACAGGGATCACTTCCCTAGACCTGCTGGCCACACTGTTTCTGATACAAGCCAGGATGCCGTTGGCCTTCTTGGCCACCTGAGCACACTGCTGGCTCATATTCAGCCAACTATCAACCATCACTCCCAGGTCCTTCTCTGCCTGGCAGCTCTCCAACCACTCCTCTCCCAGCCTGTAGCTCTGCTTGGGGTTATTGCATCACAGGTGGAGGACCCGGCACTTGGCCTTGTTAAACTTCATGCAGTTGACCTCAGCCCATCGGTGCAGCCTATCCAGATCCTCCTGCAGAGCCTTCCTACCCTCAAGCAGATCGACACACGCACCTAGCTTGGTGTCATCTGCAAACTTACTGAGGGTGCACTCAATGCCGTCATCCAGATCATTGATGAAGATATTAAAGAGGACCGGCCCCAGCACCGAGCCCTGGGGAATGCCACTAGTGACTGGCCTCCAACTGGACTTGGCTCCATTTACCACGACTCTTTGGGCCCAGAGAGCCCAAAGAGCGCCCAGCCTTCCTGGACTCCTCTGCCCTTCAGAACCGCCTCCCAAGGGACTCTACCAACCAGTGTCCTCAGCAGCTCAGAGTCAGCACTCCGGAAGTCCCATACAGCGGCTTTACTGGTTCCCTTCCTGGCCCCGCCAAAAATAGTGAACTCCACCATTTCGTGGTCACTCTGCCCAAGACAGCTCCCGACAATCACATCCTCCACCAGTCCTTCTCTGTTTGTGAAGAGAAGGTCTAGCGGGACGCCACCCCTGGTAGGTTCACTAACCAGCTGCGTCAGAAAGCCATCTTCCACGCTCTCCAGAAACCTCCTAGACTGCTTTCTCTGGGCTGTGTTTTGCTTCCAGGATATGTCAGGGAAGTTGAAGTCCCCCACGAGAACAAGCGCTGAAGATTTTGCAACTTCTGTCAGCTGCCTGTAGAACTCCTCAGCAGTCTCCTCATCCTGGTTTAGCGGTCTATAACAGGCCCCGACCAGGACACTAGCCTTGTTGTCCCTGCCGATCCTAACCCAAAGGGACTCGACCTTGTCATTCCCAGGCTCGAGTTCTACAACCTCGAAACACTCTCTAATATAGAGAGCCACACCGCCACCCCTTCTGTGCTGCCTGTCCCTTCTGAAGAGCTTATAGCCAGACATCGCAGCACTCCAGTCATGAGACTGGTCCCACCACATCTCCGTGATAGCAACCAAGTCGTAGCCTGCCTGCTGCACGATGGCTTCCAGCTCCTCCTGTTTGTTACCCATGCTGCGTACATTGGTGTAGATGCACTTCAGCTGGGCCATTGCCTTATCCCCCGGCCTTGCCATTGTTCCCCCTGGCACAGCTCCAACAAGCCTTGTTTCAGCCCCATCCCTTTTCTTACCGAGTTTAAAGCCCTCTCAATGAGCCCCGCCAGCTCCTGGCCCAGGATCCTTTTTCCCCTAAAAGATATGGACCCGTCTGCTGCCATCAGACCAGGTGCTGAGTAAACTGCCCCATGGTCGAAAAACCAAGATTTCTGCGTAGGCACCAGCCCCGGAGCCACGTGTTTAACAGGTGGGCTTTCCGTGTCCTCTCTGTACCCCTCCCTGCCACCGCAGGGATAGACGAAAACACCACCTGCACTCCTGCTCCATCCACTAACTGTCCCAGCCCCCTAAAGTCTTGTTTGATAGCCTCCAGGCTTCTCTCTTCAATGTTGTCACTGCCCGCCTGGACTATCAAAAGAGGATAATAATCAGAGGGGCATACCAGGTTGGGAAGCTTCCTGGCAACGTCCCTGACCCTGGCCCCAGGAAGGCAGCAGACTTCCCTACGGGTAGGGTCAGGCTGACAAATAGGGCCCTCTGTTCCCCTGAGAAGAGAGTCTCCCACAACAATAACCCTTCTGTCTTTCTTGGTGGAGGCAGTCCTGAGGCGTGGAGTCGACCTCCTTGCCCTAGGCATCCTCCTGGGAACACTTGCTTCCTCTTCCTCACCCACCCGTCTCTCGAGCTCCAGGGCCTCAAACCTGTTGTGTAAGGGCACCTGGGAAGGTGGGGCTGGAAGGGGTGGGCATTGCCTGCAATGTCGAGCAGGGACCTGTTTCCATTCCTCCTCAACTCCCAGATCCCCTCCCTCTGCCCGACGGTGACAGGGCAGGGGGTCCACCCTCATTTGGGGTGTCTCACCTCGATACCTCTCCTTGAGGCCCTTCAGGGAGTCGCTCCACAAGTCTATCTCCTGCTCACGCTCCCTGATATCCCTCAACCTCTCCACCTCCTCCTTGAGCTCCGCCACCATGCGGACCAGGTCATCCACCTGCTCGCACCTCACGCACGCAGTTTCTCTGCCTCCCGCCGATGGCAGGAACAGGCTCAGACACTCCTTGCATCTGGTGACCTGAACTGCTACGTTTTTTAATGGGCAGTCGGTGTGGGTTTGTACCGACTTCCTGGAGAGAGCACCGTGCCTGGTGGAGACCATTGTCACTTAGCTAATGGCTGTCATTAAGGAGGTGTTCGTATGGGCGGGGGGAGCGCTCTGCCCTTCCTGCTCGCCCTGCCTGTGCGAACTGCCGCGCTAACTGCCACGCCACGCCCTTCTGACGTGCCACGCCCTGTTTGCCCGTCCTGGTCACCGCGCTCCTGGTCGCTCGCGCTCTCTAGGGGCAGCTTTTGAACAGCTGGGGAGGGGGTGCTGCTGGCTCCGCCTATGCCTCATCAGCCTCCCTCACGAGGGCTGCCGGGTCCTTGCGGCTCCCTCAAGTAGGCTCGATGCTGGAAAAATTAGCCCTGCCTGGCCCGATCCCCCACTCCGCTGCAGAACGCGTCTGCCCCGGAGCCGATTGCCTCGGCAAATGGTGGGGCACAAGGGCCAGCTTGGCTGACCAGGGATCTTATTCTGGAGCTTAGGCATAAAAAGAAATTGTATGGGTGCTGGAAACATGGTCAGGCAATGTGAAAGGACTACAGGGACGCTGTTCATGTTTGTAGGGAGAAAATACGTGCAGCCAAAGCCCTCAATGAGAGTTGAAGCTGGCCAGGTCTGTGGGCGACAATAGAAAGTTTTATTTTAAATATGTGAAAAAGGAGGACCAGAGAAAACAAAGGTCCACTACTTGATGGGGAAGGTCACCTCACAGACAAGGACATAGGCAAAGCAAAGACATTTAATGCCTTCTTTGCCTCCGTCTTCAACGCCAAGGGTGGGTTTCGGGACTCCGGGTGCTGCGAGGACCGTAACAGTAGGAATGATAAACTCCCAACTGACCCTGAATGTGTGTGTGATTTGCTGCACCACACGGATCCATACAAGTCCATGGGTCCGAACAGGATTCATCCCAGAGTGCTCAGAGAGCTGGCTGACATCATCACAGGACCTCTCTCAATTATTTTAAAACAGTCTTGGGAATCTGCAGAGGTCCTAGTTGGCAAATGTTGGGCCAGTTTCAAGAAGGACAAGATCCTGCTAACTACAGGCCTGTTAGTCTCATGTCAATGCTTGGTAAAATTATGGAGAAGATTGTCCTTGTAGATATTGAAATGTGCTTGGGGGACGATGTGGTCATTGGTCTTAGTCAACATGGGTTCACGGAAGGTAGGTCCTGTTTGACAAATTTGATTTTCTTTCATGACAAGATCACCCATGTAGTCAATCAAGGGAAGCCAGCTGATGTGATCTTTTTTGATTTCAGTAAAGCTTTTGACACAGTTTCATAAAGGATCCTACTGAACAAAATGTCCATCATATAGCTGGACAAAAATATCATATGTTGGGTGAATAACCAGCAGATGGGTAGGACTCCAAAGGTTGAAGTAAATGGGTCCTCATCAGGCTGGTGGGCAGTCCCCAGTGGGGTACCTCAAGGCTCCATTTTAGGGCCAGTCCTCTTCAGTGTTTTTGTAAATGATTTGGATGTGGGACTAGAAGGTGTTCTGAGCAAATTTGCTGGTGACACCAAACTTGGAGGAGTTGTGGACTCTGATGAGGGTGGAAAGGCCGTGCAGAGAGATCTGGAAAGACTGGAGAGCTGGGCGATCACCAACCGCATGACAAGAGCAAGTGCTGGGTCCTGCACCTGGGACGGGGCAACCCTGGCTATACTTACAGATTGGGGGATGAGATGCTGGAGAGCAGCCCTGCAGAGAGGGATCTGGGGGTTGTGGTTGACAGCAAGCTGAATATGAGCCAGCAGTGTGCCCTGCCAGCCAGGAGGGCCAACCGTATCCAGGGGTGCATAAGCACGGCATTGCTAGTTGGTCAAGGGAAGTGATTGTCCCACTCTATTCTGCACTTGTTCAGCCTCACCCTGAGTTCTGTGTGCAGTTCTGGGCACCACAGTACAAACAGGATGTGAAACTGTTGGAGAGTGTCCAGAGGAGGTCTACAAAGATGGCGAAGGGCCTAGAGGGGAAGATGTATGGGGAGTGGCTGAGGTCACTGGGCCTGTTCAGCCTGGAAAACAAGAGGCTGAGGGGAGACCTCATTGTAGTCTATGTCTTCCTCATGAGGGGGAGTGGAGGGACAGGCACCGATCTACTCTCTTTGGTGATCAGTGATAGGACCTGAGGGAATAGTGTCAAGCTACAACAGGGGAGGTTCAGACTGCATATCAGTAAAAGTTCTTCAATGAGAGGGTTGTCATGCACTGGAACAGGCTCCCCAAGGTCGTAGTCATGGCACCAAGCCTGTTGGAGTTTAAGAAGTATTTGAAATGTGCTCTTAGTCATATGGTCTGAATTTTTGGATAGACTTGTGTGGAGTCAGGAGTTGGGCTCAATGATCCTTATGGGTCCCTTCCACCTTGGGATATTCTAAGATTCTATGATTCTATGATCATTTTCTCTGAGCAGTGATAGTTTTACAGATAGATCAGGTTAGCCAGTGCTTTCTAGCCCATGACCCAACACTGATCCACTGTCTTGGTGGCTGCTCCCCCAGTATAGACACTGATGCCAGCAGAAGGATGGAGCTGGTCAAATTTCAAAAATCAGCTCCCCTTGACAGTGGGGAATGGCCATCTCCATGCTCCCCACAAGCTGTCCCTCAAGCTGGCACTGCTACTGTGCAGAGGAAATAGGCTGTAGTGTTGTACCAAACAGAGGTACTTCATGAAAGGGGAAATGAATCACTCCTCAGATTCCCTTCCCTCTGCCTTCTGGGTGCCCACTCTCTTCTCTGGGACTTCAGGGTTTCAGGTTCCCTGTGAATACCTGGCTTTAGTTCTTTCCCTGTGGCTGAGAGCACAGTGGGAGATCTCTCACCTTCAAAGGGGCTTAAGTCATGGCTCATACCAGGCTCTGCTGTCCCTGGAAGTACCCTGGGCTCTGCAGGCAGCTCCAGATGCCTCTCCTGAAGGACATCATCTATGGCTCACATGTAGGAACAGTCCTGGTTATGTAATGCAGTGACCATTCACTGCCTCTGTTGTCAGTAGACATCCATGGGTAAGTCTTAAATCTAGCCCTTGGTCTCTGAAAGATCACAAATGTGACAAGGAACCATTCCCTCCTGAACCAAAAGAGGAACAGACCCTTGTGGGCAGCAATTATTTGGGCCTTGGCAATGGTTTGGTAAAGACAACTCAGGCTCAGGCTTTGAGCATAGCATTGGGGTGTTTCCATTTTAGTACAGCAATGTTATGAGAGTCTTCACTGACTCCCTCACAGTGTTAAATGCACATTTATACAGCTTTCATATGTGAGCAAACAGGTTCGTGGATTCATAGCACTTGGGGGAATCAAAATATTTAAATATTTATGCAGGGATGCAAGGAGCAGGAACAGCCATAATGACTATATATATATGTGTGTGTGTGTGTGTGTGTGTGTGTGTATAATGAGAACAACAAAAACACAAAAACACGCCTGGAAGAAGATTACTGACGTTCATTTGTGGAGAGTGAAGGGATCTTTATAAGAACTGAAAAACATCCACCAAATCAGTTTCCTAACTGCATCCTTGAGCTGCTGGTTCCTCATGCTGTAGATGAGGGGGTTCACTGCTGGAGGTACCACTGAGTACAGAACTGCCAGCAAAAGGTCAAGGGATGGGGAAGAAATGGAGGAGGGCTTCAGGTAGGTAAAAGTGGCAGTACTAAGAAACAAGGAGACCACGGCCAGGTGAGGGAGGCACGTGGAAAAAGCTTTGTACCGTCCTTGATGGGAGGGCATCCTAATTACAGCCCTGAAGATCTGCACATAAGACAGCACAAGGAAAACAAAACACCCAGATGCTACAGTGACACTAATAATAAGAAGCCCAACTTCTGTGAGGAAGGCATCAGAGCAAGACAGCTTGAGGATCTGGGGAATTTCACAGAAGAACTGGTCAAGGGCATTGCCTTGGCAGAGGGGAAGGGAAAAGGTATTGGCAGTGTGCAGCACAGCATAGAGAAAAGTACTGCCCCAGGCAGCTGCTGCCATGTTGACACAAGTTCTGCTGTCCATTATTGTCCCATAGTGTAGGGGTTTGCAGATGGCAATATAGCGGTCATAGGCCATGATGGTGAGAAGATAAAACTCTGCTGCAACAAAGACAACAAACATAAAGAGCTGGGTAGCACAGCCTGCATAGGAAATGGCCCTGGTGTCCCACAGGGAATTGGCCATGGATTTGGGGACAGTCGTGGTAATAGTTCCAAGGTCAATCAAAGAGAGGTTGAGGAGGAAGAAGTACATGGGGGTGTGGAGGCGGTGGTCGCAGGCTATGGCTGTGATGATGAGGCCGTTGCCCAGGAGGGCAGCCAGGTAGATGCCCAGGAAGAGCCCGAAGTGCAGGAGCTGCAGCTCGCGTGTGTCTGCGAATGGCAGGAGAAGGAACTCTGTGGGGAAGGTTCTGTTGGACATTTGCTGCCTCTGGCCATGTGCACCTGTCACTAGAGGAAAAGACAATGACAAGGCAGAATTCTCTGAGCAAAACTCACACCTTCTCTCACAAAAATCACCATTCCCTGAGTTGAATGAGTCAGCTTGTTATCCAACCCACCCAACTGAATGACAGCATGCCTGACAGGTTATAATGGAGTTTGGGCACCTTGTTCCCAAGAAGAAATGCTCAGAGCAGTACCCAGCACTCCATGTCAGAACAGATGTTTACACCCACTTGCTTCCCAGACAAAGGAAGTAGGAGAGCCACGTACAGGTGGAGAAGTGAGAATGAGTACCACAATGCTCCAACCAGCTGACAGAGAGAAAAGCAGATGGGCATGCAGTGAAACCTACACCCTACCAAGCTTGCATGCCACCTAGAGACGTGACACTGCAGAGCAGGTACTCTTAGCCTCATCATTGTGTATCACCTTGCAGGACACAGGCTCCTTTCTTCCTTTGGAGGTTCAGCTGAGGAGATGGTGGTTCATGCCCTAAATCCCCAGGCGCTGAGAGTGGCTGATGTACTGGGTGGCAGAGGAGAGCAGGGGGTTGCTGCAGAGAAGGTGCCTGCACTGCAGGCCTGGCAGGAAGTGCCTGTATCCCCCCTCTCTTGGTGTTTCAGGCAGCAGCTCCCTCTCCCTCCCTACACAGATCACTGCTACCTGAAACTGTCCTTACTGGCAGCTCCTTCCCTGTCCCCACATCTCCTCCCTGCCATTGCTCACAGACCCTGTCCCACCTGCAGTGTGCTCAGCTCTGCCCTGCAGACACATCCTTTCCCAAGGCAATTTCCAGGGACATATTCATTGTGTTCAGTGGCTAAGGAGCTGCTGTGACTTGTCCAGAGAGCTCTTGAGGGCAGAAAAGTGAAAGAACAGACCCCACAGTGTTTCTTCCCTTCTGGCAGTGTAGCTGTTTATCTTCTTTTTCAAGAATATTCCCAAAGATGCCCTGGGAGTGCTGTGGAGCTCTGAGCAGCCTGCTCCAGGCATCAGCCCCTGGGCTCCAGCAGGACCCTGCCCTGCCTTGCCCTTGTTTGAGGGCTACTTCTAAACATGGCTTCTCCCTGCAGTGGCCTGGGCAGCTCCCCAGGCAGGCTGAGTACTGAGCCTCACAGGCAGCAGAGGCCTCTTCTGGCACACAGCCCCTGGGGCACAGCAGGGACCCTGCTCTGCACCACAGCCATGGTCACCCCTGCCCGCAACCCAGCTGCACAGCCTGGAGCCAGCCCTGTGAGAAGGAACCCTCATCTCCTGTAACTCTGACAGCTCTGGCAGGTAATTTCTGCTCTAGATCTTGTTATTCTTCTATTATCCAAAGAGAATTCTCCAAAGATAAATATCCAAAGAATTCTCCTGAAAGATCCCATAGGCTGTGGGATTTGCCAGCAATTCTGGAGATGGCACCAGGAACAACAGCTGCGTTGCCCTGCAGCCACAGACTTACCCTGTTCAGGGCTCTGAAGATTTCTCCTGCTGTGAGCTCTCAGCATCCCCCCTCCACACTGCCTTTAACATCTCCCTCTCTTCTCTCAGCCACCCTTGTCCCCTGCAGGCAGTGTCCCCAGCCCTGCTGCGCTGTGCAGAGGAGCTGCTCCTGGCAGAGCTGTCTCTCTGCAGTGCTGCCTGCTTGCCAGGAGCTCCCATTGGCCCAGGAGCCCAGCCCAGCTCATCAGCATGGGGAGCACTTGAAAAGTCCCTGGGCCTCCAAATGAATCAACTTTGAATCAGACTGAAGCAATCCCTGATGTTCCCTCCCTTAGCTGAGGAGCAACACTTAGTGCCAGCAATGTCATTTCTCCTATCATGAGAAGTTTCATCAAAAAATCACTTTGTCCTCTTTCACTTTTAGGTAGTGACACCCAGACTGTGGCTGTCAGGAATCACATTTCCCAAGCTGAGGGCAGTGACCACAGTCAGTCAATTCATGCTTTTCATTCTCAGTTTGATATCCCAGGCCTGAAACAGGGCCCAGAACCTTCCTTATCAGCCACAAACGCACACATGGGTGATGTGATTTCTCTCACCTCTGTACGGGTATGCACAAAATACTCTAGCTCAAGCTCCCACAGTAATTACAAGAGATAGAGAAGAGCAGTGAGTTGTTCAAATGCAAACACCATTTGACATTTGAGGTGCCAGAGGATGTCCAGGTTAGCAGTCATTAGGACTTCAGAGATTGGGAATATAGGTATTGGCATTTTGTCAGTGTATACTGACTAAAATTGTTGCCTTCCTTTGTGCCTTGTCACTAACCTGGGAGCAGTCCCTTGGCAGTTAGCTAAATCATATAAAACTCCCCTATAACATCTCTGTCTCCTCCCCAAAACTGGGAGAAAATTAATGGAGAAAGAGTTATTATCACTTGTGAGGCATCCAGCCACTGTTCTGAACTTGTGTGCTGCTCACCTGGGATCCCCACTAAAAGTCTTTTATTTCCTTTCTCACACCCTTTGGGATCCGGGACCCCACAATTTCAGGGTCACGACAGACAGGGCTGACACAGATCATCACATCCCTGACTAGCTCTTTCTGGCATGCAGGTATCAGATCCAGGTTTGTATTACCTCTGCTGGACTATCTGGAAGCTAGACAAGGAAGCTATCCCAAGACACTCCAGAAACCACCTGGACTGTTTGCACTCAGCTCTGTTCCCCTTCTGGAAAATGGCAGGGACAATAAAAAACCCTCAGGGAGACCCAGACTCTTACTCTAAGAGACTTCTTTGGAGTGCTTAACAATGACTATGTCCACTTCCTTGCCCTGGCTGCAGGTTATTTTCTCCCACCATGATAGCACCCTTAGTGACCCCTTCTCTGATTGGCACCCACAAGTGCTCAGAGAACTTTTCACAGGTCACATAGAGGAGCTCCATATATCCAAGCAGCTTCCATGAGGAAATCTAACTCTGGATCATTCCACTCTGTCTGTCCTAAAGTCTGTATCCACCCATTGCAGCATTCCAAGTTGCAGGACTTGTCCCACCATGCCTTGGCAGTGACTTCACGAATGTCAAAAAGCACAGACTGCAGCTTGTTCTAGTCTGTGCTCCCGCTTGAGGGCATCGATACATTTTTGGGTTGTCACACCTCAGCTGTGGGACCATGGCAAACTATGCCTGCTGTCTCCAACGACAATGAGAAACAAAATAAATAACAAGTTTGCAGCCCTGGTCTTTGGCATCTTCAGCCATCTGCTTGGAAGGGTCCTATGGGATAAGGCCCTGGAGAGAAGAGCAGTCCAAGAAAGGTGGTTAATATTCCAGGATCACCTCCTCCAACATCAAGAGCAGTCCATACTAAGTGTAAGGAAGTCAGGTAAAAATTACAAGAGGCCTGCATGGATGAACCAGGAGGTCCTGGCAAAACTCCAACACAGAAAAGAAGCACAGCAACGGTGGAAACAAGAACAGATAAGCTCAGAGGAATACAGAGGCTTTGCCCAAGCACGTAGGGATGAATATCGGAAAGCTAAAGCCCAACTCTGATGGAATTTGACCCAAGGATGTCAAAGGCAGTAAGAAGGGCTTCTAGAAGTATATAGGTTGCAAAAGGAACACTTGGTAATATGTGGACCTACTGCTGAATGAGGCCCAGGATCTGCTGACACAGGACAGGGAGAAGGCTGAAGTGCTGAATTCCTTCTTCACCTCAGTCAGTACAGGCAAGAATGGCCTTTGGGAAAAACAGGCCACAGAGAATGGGGGAAGGACAGGGACAAGGAAAATGTACACTGGGTGGGAGTGGGTCAGGTCAGGGCATACTTGACTTAATGGGATACACAAGCCTATTGGACATGATGAGATTTACCCGGGAGAGCAGAGGGAGCTGGCTGATGTCCTTGCAAGGCCACTCCTAGCTGCAAGAAGCATTACTTGCAAAGGAAAATGCCATATTTCCCAATATTCTGCACACCATCAATAAAAGAAAAAACTTTTTTTTTTTTCAGTGTTGCTTAATTAACTCAATAAACAGATATTTTTTACTTAGTTCTCAGCTCAGCCTCAACTTTGTCTTCCAAACAAAGACTTCTGTAACATCTGCTATCTTCCAAGACTTAGTCACATGTTAAAGGAAAGATGAAAACAAAACAAACACTCTTCAAGACAGCTGTTGCACAGGGTTCTCCAGGGATGAGGTGTTTTAGTGTAGGGGGTAACTGGCTTTGAGAAGGTTTAGAAACAGTCATGGAGTGTGTCTACACAGCATCAAGGGTTTCTGATTCTAATACTGCCCCTCATGCCATATAGGTTGGAGGTGTGCAGGACATTGTTATGGGACACAGCCAGGAGAGCTAACCCAGAGTGATCAAATTGATGTTCCTCATCATCCAGCACCCTGCAGCCTACCACCTGACTACCAAAAGCATGCTGTGCACACCAAATACATGTCCTGTGAAGAGCAGCTGAGAGAGTTGGGATTAGTCTGAAGAAAAGAAGACTCCAGGAAGCATTGTTGTGGTCTTCCAATACACAAATGGGCCTACACACGTGTGTAGTGACTAGACTAGACAAGACTAGACTAGAACAGAATAGTTCAGTTGGAAGAGGCCTTCAAAGGTTGTCTGGTCCAACTACGTGATCTCTCCAGGGCTAAACAAAAGTTACCCCAAGCAGAGCTACAGGCTGGGAGATGAGTGGTTGGAGAGCTGCCAGGCAGAGAAGGACCTGGGAGTGATGGTTGATAGTTGGCTGAATACGAGCCAGCAGTGTGCTCAGGTGGCCAAGAAGGCCAACAGCATCCTGGCTTGCATAAGAAACAGTGTGACCAGCAGGGCTAGGGAGGTGATCGTCCCCCTGTACTCGGCTCTGCTGAGGCTGCACCTTGAGTACTGTGTTCAGTTTTGGGCCCCTCGTTACAAGAAGGACATCGAGGTACTTGAGCGGGTCCAGAGAAGGGCGATGAAGCTGGTGAGGGGCCTGGAGAACAAGTCCTACGAGGAGCGGCGGAGGGAGCTGGGCTTGTTCAGCCTGGAGAA